CTGTTTCATCCATTGGCGGAAAATCCTACTTCGTGACTTTCATTGATGATCACACGAGGAAGGTATGGGTTTATTTTTTGAAGCACAAATCTGAGGTATTTGACGTGTTCAAAAAGTGGAAGATCATGGTGGAGAATGAAACAGGTTTGAAAATCAAAAGGTTGAGATCAGACAATGGTGGTGAGTATAAAGACATTGGGTTCAAGAAGTTCTGTTTTGATAATGGGATCAGATTAGAGAGGATTGTGCAAGGAACCCCACAGCAGAATGGGTGGCAGAACGGATGAACCGAACATTGACAGAAAGAACCAAAAACATGCGCATACATTCGGGTCTACCCAAACAGTTTTGGGCAGAAGCGGTCAATACAGCATCCTACCTAATAAATCGTGGACCATCGGTGCCTTTAGAGTATCGAATACCAGAAGAGGTATGGAGTGGCAAAGAGGTAAATCTTTCATGGTTAAAAGTTTTTGGTTGTATTGCATATGCGCATATTAGTGACCATGCTAGGGGAAAGCTTGACCCCAAGTCACTAAAATGCATCTTCGTTGGGTATGGCGGAGATGAGTTTGGTTATCGACTTTGGGATAATCAAAACAAGAAAATCATTAGAAGTAGAGATGTGATTTTCAACGAGAAGGTGATGTACAAGGATAGAGATGCAACACAGTTAACTAGTCCTGTACAGAGTAAGCCTGAGTTTGTTGAGTTGGATGATGATCCAAAAAGCATTGATGCAAAGCAGACAGATAAGGGTTCTTGGCCAGAACTCACAGAGTATAGTTCACCGCAGATTCCAACTCCTATGCCTGCACCCAAAAGGTCTACGCGACCTCATGTACCGAATAGGAAATATTTGGATTATATGTTGCTCACAGATGATGGTGAGCCTGAATGCTATGATGAAGCATGTCAAGTTGAAGATGCTAGCAAGTGGAAGCTTGCAATGGAAGATGAGATAAAGTCCCTTATCTCTAACAAAACATGGGAACTATCCAAGTTGCCCATGGGGAAGAAAGTTCTTCACAACAAATGGGTGTACATAGTGAAAGAGGAACATGATGGTTCCAAGAGATACAAGGCGAGAATGGTGGTCAAAGGCTTTCAGCAAAAGCAAGGCATTGACTACACAGACATTTTTTCCCCGATTATGAAACTGAGTACTCTTCGCTCAGTTCTTAGCATTGTTGCAGCAGAGGGGTTGCACATTGAGCAGTTAGATGTCAAAACTGCTTTCCTCCATGGTGACCTTAAGGAGGAGATTTACATGCAACAACCGGAGGGTTTCTCAGTCAAAGGGAAATAGAAACTAGTGTGCAAGTTAAAGAAAAGCTTATATGGTTTGAAGCAAGCCCCGAGGCAGTGGTACAAGAAGTTTGATGGTTTTATGAAGCGACATAGCTACAACAAGTGCATTGTTGACCATTGCTGCTTTTTCAAGAAGTTCAAGTCAAGTTTCATTATCCTTCTACTTTATGTTGATGACATGTTAGTGGCAGGTTCCGATTTCGAAGAAATTAGCAAATTGAAGAAGCAGTTGTCTAGTGAATTCGAGATAAAGGATCTTAGTGCAGCGAAACAGATTCTTGGGATGAGGATTAGCAGAGACAAACATAAAGGTATTTTGCAGTTGTCTCAGGCTGAGTATGTTGAACGGGTTCAGAAGAGGTTCAACATGAATAATGCTAAGGCAGTGAGTACTCCCTTAGCTAATCATTTCCGCTTATCTCAAGATTAGTGTCCGAAGACAGAAGATAAGAAAAACTTCATGGCTAAAATTCCATATGCCTCAGCCATTGGAAGTTTGATGTATGTCATGGTGTGCACAAGACCAGACATTGCATATGCAGTGGGAGCAGTAAGCAGGTTCATGAAGGATCCGGGCAAGCTACACTGGGAAGCAGTAAAGTGGATATTGAGATATCTACGGGGTACTACAGACAGATGTTTATGTTTCAGAAGGGGTGAAGTGAAGCTACATGGTTATGTAGATTCAGACTTTGCTGGTGAGGTGGACCACAGAAGAAGTACTACCGGGTATGTGTTCATGGTGGGTACAACTGCAGTTAGTTGGGTTTCGCAAATATAGCGGTTTGTAGCGTTATCTACTACAGAGACAGAGTATGTGGCGATGACAGAGGCCAGCAAGGAGATGATTTGGTTACAAGGTTTGTTAACAGAGTTGGGATTCGAAAAGGTGAAGAATGTTTTGCACAGTGATAGTCATAGTGAGATACATCTGGCAAAGAATTCAGCATTTCATTCAAGGACCAAGCATATAGGACTTCGGTACCACTTTATCAGATCTTTGTTAGTAGATGGGGTGTTAACACTTGAGAAAATACTTGGCACCAAGAATCCGGCTGGCATGTTAACTAAGACAGTGACCATGGAGAAACTGAAGTTGTGCGCAACTTCAGTTGGTCTTCTAGGTTGAAGACAGAAAGAAACGCACAGTCATGTATGGGACATACATGTGAAGAAGATGGAATGGGTTTACAAGTGCTCCAGACTCCAAGTGGGAGATTGTTGTGGTTTTGTGGAGTCTGATTAGGTGGAAGATTTTTAGGAAGATTTAATTATATGGAAATTTCAATAGTACTGAATTTTAGGGAAAATTCAGTTTCCTAATCTGTTAAGGAAAATTCAGTTTCCTAATTTGTTAGGAAAATTTCAGTTTCCTAATCTGATTTGACTTCCTTATTGGTTTAAGGAAAATTCAGTTTCCTGATCTGATTTAATTTCCTTATTGGTTTTGGATTCTACAAAAGGCAAGTTCTTGTAGGACAAGTTTGGGACTCTATAAATAGGGTGAGAAGTTAGAGAAAAATGTGTGCCAATACAAGAGAAAGAAATTGAGAGGATTGAAAGAGAATTCTCCTTGTAATTCTTCATCTTTTTCATAGTGAATTTGTTCGGTGTGCTCCATGGACGTAGCCCTAAGATTTGGGTGAACCATATATATCGTGTGTTCTTGTGTGTGATTTTTTTTATTCTTCGTGATTGCTTGTTTATTCCTTGAACAGTGTTGTTTATTTTGCGTTTCCGCCACAACAACTGGTATCAAATCCGGTTGATTGTGTAGTGCAACTCTAACCATAACAAGTCCTCCATGCTCGCCGCCACAAGCAGCCTCCATGAAACCAACGAACCGGTGACAAATCACGATCTGGTACAGACGGCTCGGATCCACCACCTGCTCGACTCATAACTCAAGAGCAAAATCGTCTTCAATGATAACTCGCTTTCGCTTCTCAGATTTTAGAGTCTCTGATTCGGAACTTCGTTTCTTTGCGCTTGATTTCACTGTCGACATTTTGAATCACGGAAATTATGTATCTAAATTTTAGAGTGAGCTTTTTGCAGATGAAACTCGAAATTTGAAAGAGAGAGAGAAAGAGAGAGGAGGGAAGGAGTAAAGAGAGATTCTATTACCTGGGGACGAGGAATAATCTGTTGATTGATTTTGGGTTTAGAATTGAGATTTTGGGTTTGGGTTTTGGTGACCGCCGTCAGCATCAACGATGCAGCGAAGGAAGAAGACCCAGAACAGAGCTTCAATCGTGGATCCTTTGGACGGCTGAGGATGAGATCGGGACAGTGTAATGTTTAAGGGGTATTTTTGTCCAAAACATAACCTTTTAAACAGATACCAGTTAAAATACCTTTAGATAGTAAGGGAAATTTCTTGCTAAAACAATTCATAAGGAACTCTTGCTAACAGGTGAAACTGGAGGAGGGTATTTTTTGCAATTCATAAATAAAAATAAAAATAATTACAAATCCGTTTAAGAAATATATTTTATTGATACGCCTCAGCGAAAAGTTTAGTAGTGATAGAAGATTATGATTCAATAAATTTTAGAAGCATATTTTTTAGGTGACATGAATTAGGATTTCGGTGACAAAATGAAAAGTCTAGAAATGTACTTATAAGATTGACAATTAATTTATGTATTTTACATATAAAGAAATATAAATATAAGAATCAGAAATTCTGAGCATGATCGTGATGTGATCCCCTCCGCATGGGAGCAGGGACGGACTGTCATCTATAATATACATGTGATAATATTTAAAAGAAATTCCATATATATGATAATTGGTATACATTCCCTATCCTAAATTTTTTAGTTTCTAAATTTATCTCTTTTAATGTTTTCTTTATTTTCATTTTTACTCTTCAAATTTCTTTTATTTCCTTAGTGAAAAAGTAAAAATTTCCTTCCTTAGTCAAAATTGTAACTTTATCCTTTCAAAATTCTCTCATTTTATCTTTCTTTTTTTCTTTTTCTACTTCTTAAAATTTTTCCTTTTTATTGTGTATATTTGAATAAATATTTTCTTTTACCTTTTATATTTTATATTTGTCATATTATGTATATATATTTTATACGGTGCCCAAACTTGAAATTCTTGATCCATCCCTGCATCAGAGGTTTCGTGTGGTTCTAAACATAGAGAGCAATTTTTAGATTAACTATAACGGTTTAGGAAATACACGTAAATTGTCAAGTTATTTAAAATTTGGAGACGTGGATCCCTTGTTTTTGTGAAAGCAAGTGGATGTAATGTTAAAAATGACTTTACATTGACATTTTACATGTTATTCGGATACATTTAATCAGAACACTTGGAATTTCAAAAAGATGCGAAGTACCACAAATATGAAGAATGAGGGATCAGGTGCTAGTAATTAAAAAACATGCAGCGGGGATCAGAACTTTCCTGATATAGATTTGGTAAATATTCCCACATTTGTATCCATAGAAAACAGTTGATTTAAGATCAGATTTACAGCCTGTGATTGACACTTTTACATGTAAAATTCAATCTTAAAAACATAATTTAGTCAACAGAGTGAAAAAATAGTCTTTGCCAACCATGGCCACCCTTTAAACTTTCCCAACCAGAGAATGAATGTCGGAACTGCCAAATCAAAGTCATGAACATATATTAGTATATAAACATAGATTTACACCACAAGGAATCTCACAACCCATTAATACCTTTTCTTCTTAGGCTTCTTCCATCTTTCTCTCACTGCATAGAGAGAGAGAGAAAGAGAGAGATCTAGAGAGAGCGTGTGTTGTTTTTAATTTTGAGCTAGGATCAAGAAATGGGAGCCTGTGCCAGTGTGCCCAAGGCCATGCTAGCCGAAGCCGGCCGTACGGCGCCACCACCGGAGCCGGCAAAGGAAGAAAAGGAGGTGGAGGAAGTGAAGGCAGAAGAACAAAGGAAGCCGGTGGAAGAAAAGAAGGTAGAGGTGGTGGAAGATGGTGCGGTTGATGAGAATGATAAGCGCCAATCTCTTGAGGCTTTGCTCACCGAGGTAATAATTTATATATTAAATTTTCTAAATGCAACGTACATAAAAACACATAAACAAACATGTGCATATACATTATAGGTAAATTCACTTATATTTATATACACAAACATCAAATTTGTGGAATAACATAGTCTTGAGTCTCTTTCACCACTTTTGATCATATTGATATTATTCTTTAGACTTTTCACGGAAACGTGAGGAATTGGGATTTGGCTAATGTCAACTTATTATTACATAAAATTAAGCTTTATTATTTATTTAATTAAATTTTTTTTTTTCAAAGTTGTTATTTATTGACATTAATTGTCATTTATCACAATGTTTTGGAGTCTTGGATGGTATGATCTCCCAAGCCTCCATAGTATTGGTTGAGGATTGAATGGCAAAATGTGTATTTGTGACTCTTATAATATGTATGAAGGAAAAATAATAAGAATAATATGTGTTATAAGTTGAACACTACAGTACCAAAACACTAATACATGACCAAGTCAATACAAATTATAACAAATTACACATTGCATATATGTATGGTTTAATGCAATTAATTAATTAATGAACTATTACTTTTCTTATTGTAGCATCAAATTAAAGAAGTGAAGGAGTCACCAGAATCTGAGAACACCACCACCCAAAAAGAAACCATTCCATCAGAGACATCACAAAAGCCAGAAGAAGAACCAAAGGCCAAGGAAGTGTCCGTTGCAAAAGAGTCACCGGAATCTGACACCACCACCCACGCCGAAACCACCATTAATCCTTTGGACACAGTACAAAAGGCAGAACCACCAAAGGCCGAGACGGTCACCATTGCAAAAGAGTCACCGGAATCTGACACCACCACCCACAAAGAAACCAATATTTCTTCGTCAGAGACGGTACAAAAGGCAGAAGAACCAAAGTTGACCGCCAACTTGGTTCCCATTGCACGAGAGTCACCGGAGTCACCGGTTCTAAAGGCGGAAGAAGAGGAGTTTCCGGTAGCAGATGTGGTTGCAAGGGTCCCGACGATGTATGAACCTGAGACCATTAAAGAGGTGAATAAAGCAGCATAGTTAATGGTATTTATGCTGAGCTGAAATGGGAGGCTATCAATATATGTCGATATTGCTTACACACTAGGAGGGGTCCAGCCTAGCTGTTAATTAGCTAGTGAAAAAGTATTTGACATAAACTCTAGTACTGTACTCAGGATATTTGGTTCTTGTTGATTATTATTATATATTGTTTTAAAAGTTTTTTATTTTATTTTCATATATTGTTTGTTCAATCCATCTTTTCTTGTCATTCAGTAAATGTGACATAATATTACTTAAAAAAAGGAAAATCCAACTACAAGAGAATGTAGGGATACTGTCCAACTCGTTGGGGGAACCATCTCGCCCCACATATATATCATATCATATTATATAGAATCGACACTTCTCAGTTCCACGCCATCATGCGACCTCCTTCAATCCTTCACCATATACTCTCTTCTTTTTCAGCCACATGCCATCATGCGACCTCTCACAGTTGGGTTTTGTCCTTTGGTTCTTCACCATATTCTTACTTTTCTTTTCTGGCCACATATTTCCGATCAATGCTAAGACCCTAGTCTCACACACACACACATTGAAGTAACAAGTTCTCGCAGTTGGGGTTTTGTTTTCACATTTTGATTTGATCGATCATCTAGTTTTTTACTTTGATTCTCTTTCACAGTTTGATTTTGTAGTAATAAAAATTCAAAAAAATTCTCAAATTTAATCGTGGGCGGGGTAGTGGCAAGGCGGGGGCGGCTGCCCGCCCTATTGCCATTCCTAAGAAGTATGGTGCCACATTTAATTAATATTTTACATCCAAAAAAATGAAACCTAAGGCTCTGTTTGGACGTAAAATATTTCTATTTTTTTTTTTCTTTCTATATTTGGTTGTCGTAAAATATTTATAATGAAAAAAAAAAATTAAAATTTAACAAAAATAAATTATCTATTAATTTTCGATAAGTTAATTTACATGTCCTGATGGACCGACAAAGTAAAACTAAAAAAATATTTTATCTAAAAAAAAAAACAAAAGATATTTTTTAAAAAGAATATTTTACATCTAAACAAACGAGAGTAAAAAATTTTTTTTTTTTTCTTCCCCAAATTAGAGTTAAATCCATCATAAACCTTGAGAGAAGTTTTGGAAGGTACGAGGCAATGATTCTCTCTCGATAAGTTATTCACTTATTATAGAAGATTTAATTTTCTCAGGGATTAAAGCAAATAAATACCCCTTTATAAATCTAAAATCATGGAAAAATGCTAGGAGGAGGACCGTGGTTTACATATTAGCTGCAAGTGAATTAAATCTAAAACTTGGGTCCGTTAAATGTAAATAAGTGGTGGAAGTAAAAGAAAATGAGGTAAGTGACGATAACTTAAGTTTTTAATGTCAATTTGGTTTAGTATAAAAATTTTATAAAAAATTTATGTAAAATTAAAATTTTATAATTTGAATAGAATGTAACCTATCATAAAATAAAGAGCAATATTGTAAGTTTACAAAACTTTCTCAATAAACCAAAATTTTCTTGTGTGTTTGGGAAGAAAATTTTATGAAAAAAATAGGTGGTTATGAAAAGTGATTATTCTCAAAATTTTATTTTTCGTAATCTTAAAATATTTTTTAAAAAATTATTTCTTTTCTTTTCTTGTTATTTCTTTCTAACCAATTTTTTTATTTATTTTAAATATAGGGTTAAGTGCAAAAAAACCCCTTGAACTACGTTTGAATTTGCAAATAACCCACTTGAATCATATTTTGTGCATAAAACCCCCTAAACTATCTCATTTTGTTGCAACATACCTTAAGAACTATACTATATTTCATTAAATGACCATAATGCCCCTTCTTCTTGAATTACATTTAATATATTTTTCTTATCTAAATAAATTATGAAAAAATTCATACTCATTTGAGGAGATATTTTTTATTAAATTTACTTAAATTTACCTTTAATTTTTAATTAATTATTTAAATAAAAAATTTAGTTTAGTTTTTTTAAAAAATTAATTAATTTTTTAATTTTTAATGAATATATTACATGAAAAATAAGATATTTTTTTTCAAAAGTATTTTATTAATTTTTCATCAATATATTGTATGAAAAAAATTATATTTTTTACAATAAAATTTTTAAATTGGTTATAATACGTTTTATTATAAATAATAAAGTTTTAATAATAAGTTAATCAATTTAGAAAATGGTAGTTACAAATTTATTTATCTTTTTTTTTTTCATTTTTATGATAATTTGATACTAAAAATAAAACTAAGGTAAATAGTGTAATTAATATTCACATAAGAGAAAAGATAATAAAAATAATTTAATAAGAAATGAAAAGTTTAATGAAAAAGGGTAAAGTAGTCTTTTATGATGAATTTGTCCTTAATTGCAACAATTCAATAGTTCGGGAGGGGGGGTGGGGGGGAGTTTTAATTTGGAAGTGTTGCTTGTAAAAGGATAATAGTTTAGGGGTTTTTATTTTTTATTTTTTATTTTTACACTTAATTCAAAAATATATTAAAATTTAAATAACTAATAAAGTATTAATGATCAAGCTAGGGCAAGTTACAAAGATCCATTCCAATAAACTAAATCGAAGGAAATGGACATGACGTAAGCTTTGTTCAAGCTGCTGTGATATTTTCTTGTTAATATATATATGAGTAATGATAGGGGAACCGAAAAGAAATTCCCAAATTAATACCGAATTTGACGTGATTGGCTATACTTATCAGGTGTTAAATAATTATTTTTTAGAAATTGTTTAAGTAGATAAGGTGGACAAAAACACGTCAAATTCTGGACTTATTCGGGGAAATCATTCGGTAACCTTATCATTTATATATATATATATATAATTGGGTCAACGGACCATAGTGTTTGGAACTAGTGAGTTGGGCTAAAACAAGTCAGGCCATTAAAGTTTATGTAACGGGTGGGCGCTTACCCATTTACCCAAAAGTTTGAACTATTAGGTAGTGCTGCATACCCACCCACTTATACTCAATCACTTTCCCATTCGATTCCGGTATGGGACAAATGACCCTTGTTATATTTTCCCCCACCCAAACCGCAATGCACTCGTTGCAGCTCGGGCCACCTTGCCTATCCGGGGTGCTCACCCGGACGCCTTCCGGGCCGGACGATTGGTGTGTCACCGGATCAAAGACTGGGTCTGGCTCTGATACCAACTGTAACAGGTTGAGCACTTACCTATTTACCCAAAAGCTCGAACTATTTGATAGTGCTGCATACCCGCCCACTTATATCCAATCACTTTTCCATCCAATTCCGATGTGGGACAAATGACCCTTGTTACAGTTTGGTACTACATACAGAAATCACAATTTGACCTGGTAGTATTACATGGATGTATATTGTTAACTGTTCAATAATTGCAATTGTCTCCATTAGATATGGTAATTGGAAGACACACTTACCTTATAGGCACATGTATAGTTTTTCATTTTTATAGAAAAAGAAAAAGAAAGTTGTTATATGAAAATAAAATTGACAAAAATTAGTTTTTGTCAACTCCATTAATGCAGTGTTTGGGAAGAGGTGTGGGAAAAAAGAATAATGAATGAACGAACTTTTTTTGCTTGGTAGAGATGATACAAAGAAATAAATGAGAATATAAATGATGACTCTTCCTTGTTTCTTTATAAATTTTTATCCTCTAAAAATGGACAAAAGAAGTAATATTATAAAAATTTTAAATTACAGTACTATCCTTTATAAATTACCATATAATAATGATAAAAACAATTAAAATTTTCTTTTTCTCCTTCCTTTAACGGACATAGTAAATTATGAATTTATTCTCTTATTTTCTATCCAACCGAATAAAAGAAGGAAGTATACAATCTCTTCATTATGAATATCCCTTCCATTCATTTCATTCATTCTTCTATTCCTTGCATCCAATTTTTTTCTAATTGGCTATTTATACCAAATACTACTAAGTGAGAAGCTCCACCTCCTTATTTATTATATAATTAACCAATTAAAATAGTAGGTATAACAATTCAATACAAATATTCGGTGCATGAATCATTTTCTATTTAATTTTCAAAAAAACAACTGAACTGAATCAAACATGTCCATCTTCTTTTGTTACTTTCAATATCAAGGGCTAATATTCAGTTAAAGAAAGATGCTCCACTATATTTCAATTTTTTGTTTTCAAAAAATTGTTAAACCAAAAAGGGAAAGGAGAGGAGACAAAACATTTGCCAAACAATTTCTTAGTTTTACCAATTGACAAGTATTGCATTATAAGAACATCTCCAGCAGTATGTTAAAAAACCCTTTTTGTGTAAAATATACCCGGCCACATATGATTTGTAAATTTTTTTCATCTCCAGCAGTATGTTAAGATACACTACCACATCACCAATGTGTAAAAGGATTGTGTATTTTACATAGCACTTTTACACTACCATGTAAGCATATTTTCTCTCTTCTCTCCCTTTCCCACTCACGGTTCTCTTTCTTCTCTCTCATTCTTTACGCCTCTTTGTTTCCCACTTTTCTAGAGTGCAATAGAGAATAATCTGTAACTGGCGGCAAGGTAAGAACTACCCAACCATCTTTTATTTATTTATATATTTTTTAATAAACATAATTTGATTCATCACTTTCATTTGATTTTTATCTTCTGCAATCATATTGTAGATTCTAGGTTTTTTTAGATTTTTTATCCTTTTACATTCTATTCTAATGAGATAAATATGTACTAGCCAAAGATTAGATATATATATTAATCACGTAGTTTCTACATACTTGAATCTTATTTTTATTATTTGTTATAAATTTCCGGTGGCAGTGGCGGTGGCGTGAAAGGTTTGCTATTGACGGGATGGGAAAGTGAAATATAGGGGGAAATTATTATTATTTTTCCTAATTGAGGAGGATTGGAACGTGAGATTTAATAGCCAAAAAGTAAACTGAGTAAAGTAGGTTTGTAAAAGTTATGTAAGGCATTGGGTATATGTCACGCCTCTAGACCGTAGTCTGGATTGTGAACACAACACGTAAACAATCACAATCTCAAAATTAATAAATATCCCTATAACCTGTCTCAACTATACATCCACATATCTATTTCCCTTTACAAAAACAATACTGAAAATAAATAGGTAAGACGCAAATATTACAACTTTAAAATTTTAAAGTCTGAAATAACATTTATTAAATGCCTTGGATATTC